TCTTTACTATATATATATATATATATATAACTATTTTTTTCAAATTTTTAAATAAAAAACAAAAATGTAACCCCAAATAAATCCTAAATCATCAAGCAAAAGGCACTTCTTGCAGAAATTAAGAGATACTACTATAACAAAACAGAATATTTTAGATTATTGTAGAGCTAGACAGTTTCTAAAAACCATTATGGAATAAAATTAAGAAGCAAATAATAAAAAAAAACTAGGTAGCAATAGAGGGCTTAAAAAGTTATGATTTGTTTGGGACCATTTTATTTTTTTATTTTGTTTTTAAAAATTATTTCTTTATTGTGTTTTCTTACCTATTTTATTTTTTGTTTCTAAAAACAAACAAACATGTTTTTAAAAATACCCAAAATAACTTTTAAGTATTTTGTATCGCCTAATCAAATAGTCATGTTTTATTTTAAATCCAAGCATAAAAAAACAAAATATAAATATAAATTAATTAAAAAAAACAACCCAAATGGCTACTCACTAAATTTAGCGAATAAAGAAAAACTCACCAAGAGTTGAACAAGTATGACGAATATTACTGATACTTTTGTGGCCAAGTAGCTCTGAAAGTGCAACGACTAATTTATTAATAAGTCGCATCTCATCGTTCACATTAGCAGCAGACAGTTTCATTCTGTGTCGAAGGTTAAGCAACTGAGGCCTTGACTGTTTTCTTATTAGAAAGCCCTTCCAATAAGACTGAAAGAAAAACACAACAAAAAAAAATATTGATATGAAAATAGATGGATGGAAGAAATTTGTTATATATATAGAGTAAGTGTCAAAATAATTTTCTAACTATTTAAAGGTTCAGAAGAATAATTCGGTAGTTTTGTAGATTCTAGGGGTAAAATGACTCCGTGAAATAATCCTCCTAAGAAGATTACTTTAGCCCCCTATTAAAAGAGTCAAGGGATTAAATTGACGCATTTATAGAATGAAACTAAAATGGGCCCTACAAAGAGTGAAGGAACCATTTTAACACTATTCTTTTTGATTGAACAATATGGATGATAAATGGGAGGCGGTTTTAGAAGGCTTTATTTCAAAACCAAGTAGACATAAACATACTTTGAAGCAACAATCAAAGATGGGCAAACCAAATCTTTAAGCAGCAAAGATACAGAAAGAACAATTGAAGTTCTATGATGCACGGAAACGGATACAAAGATATGTAAACAACACGAGACACTAAAGTTATAAAATATAAGATACAATTGACATTATAATATAAATGACATTTACATTCAAAGCATCAGTCCTTATGTATTTACATATCTAACACCCAAATTTTGCTTTTTTACATTTCCACCACCCAAATCTTTCATAGCACATCAAAACTAGCACTATTTTTAACTTCTAAAAAGTGAAATACATAATTTCATGCTTAGGTAAGGTAGCATATATGTAAAAATTAAAGTTTAAATGCTAGATATATAAATCAATAAGACTTTACTGATATGTATGTAAATCTTTTTAATATAAATTATAAAAAATAGATAAAATTTTAATAAATAGAATAATAAGAACAATAAAGAAAAGAAAATAAGAAATGTAATAATATTATTTCTCAAAAGCTAGATAACCGATAGATATTGTTTACTTTATAATATAGAAAAGTAAGCACTAACTTCCTTGTATTACATCAAGACAAGTTTAACATTTAAATAAAAAATAGATTTTTTTTTTATAATTTAAATCTTAAAAAATATTTTCTATGAATAATTTTTATAAAAAATTAATTTATTAATTTATGACACGGATACTCTTTTTTAACATTAGTTAAATCAGGACATTTATGTCGTATGGGACACATGTCAAAATAATGTAGTTGTGTTCACGTATGATATATGTCCGACATTACACTGCTCCTTAATAGAAATATCTGCACATCATAGCTCAAGTTCAATCAGCAAACAACTAGAATAATTCAGTGCCGTAGAAGAAATATAGCTAATAGAAAAGGAGAACCAAAACCTAAACTTACTTGAATTAATACAATACCATGCTTGTTTCGAGCAGCTTTTCGACGAGCTATCCAGCCACGTACATGAGCCTGAATAGTTAATACAGATGCTTTTCTTGTTCTTAGAAATAAGATATTTCTCCACCATCTCTGCGGCAAAACAAATCAAGCACATGAACGCAATTTAAACCTACAAAACATAACTGCAATAAAAAGGCGTAAATGGAAAAAGATTTAGACACAATTTAATATCTTGATAAAGATATGTGATGTATTGATGTAGGGAGTGCAAGGAGAGAGAAAATAAACCTAGAACTTACTTGGATCTTGAGAATACAATATTTTTTGTGAGCAACAGCCAGGCCAGTAATCCAACCACGAATACAAGCTTGTATGACAATAACAGAACTCTTTTTTCTTCTACTAAGTAGGATATTTCTCCATAATCTCTGCAAACAAAACATTAAATAAAAAATGATTAAAGTGTTATAATTATCTCCCTACAATTGAACAATTTTAATCTTATAATTTATAAAAGTGACAATTTGGGCCCCATATTTTTTTAATACGACCAAAATTAGTCCTCACATATTAAAAAAGTTTGGGGGCGAAATTATTATTCTTATAAGCTCTGCGACTAAAATGAACCCATGCAAAAAATCATAGGATTATCTTTACACTATTCTCAAACAAATATATATAGATACTTAAAAACTAAAACACTAAAAACTAAATGAAAGCATTAAAACAATTAATATCTTACCTGAATTATACAAATGTTTTGCTTCCTCTTAGCAGCAGCACTCCGTGCAATCCAACCACGTAAAGAAGATTGAATTGAGATTGCTGCATGCATCGTGGACTTATGCAACAAAATTCGCTTCCACCATCTTTGCAGTTTTATAACGGAACCGATAACGATTCTCAGCTCAACATTGTTCACAAAACCGTGAGTAATCACATCATAAGATCTTTGATGTAACATTCTGAATTGATGGTTAGAAGCACCTAAAATTCCCAATGGAAAATTGAAATAACAAGCAACGCATTGAAGACAAGTTGTTCAAAATGAAAACTTCTAACACTAAAATTTGTCGCTATGAATCAGTTGGTGTCTGATACCTAAAAGCTTGGTTCGTGCAATTTGCCCCCTAATAAATCTTTGAATTTCATTGGCAGCAATGTGTTTCTGTCGAAACACCTTCCGATTCATCATACATAGGAAGGCTGACTGAATTATTTGGATTGCTTCAAGTTGGCGAAGGTAATTTTTTCGGTTTGACCAGCAACGCCATCGAGACTGAATTTTTATCGCAGCAGAGCTTCTCTTAGAGTGCATGTAAGGCACAAAATTTTTCCAAACTTCCTGTATCTTAGTAGCTGCCCACAATTGTAGCTCAAAAGTTTTGTTTCCTTCACTCATTGTAGCTCGTTTTTCAATATTTTCAAACGCAGTGAAATCTCTAGGGCTAATATTGTGGCAACAGGAGCATGAGACAATTATTTCTCCAGGGATTTCTGTTGCATTAAATTCTGACTTCATAAAATTCACAGTATGGAGCTTCCTTCGAAACCACGCCCTCACAAATCGTTGAATTAGAATGACTGCTTTTCTTGTTCTACAAAATCTATGCCTCTCTTTGAAGAACGTGAGATATCTGTCATATATTCCTGAATGTTTAACATATATATCACTCGCATATAGTTAAGTACAAAAAGTTGCTCAAAATATAAGAAGAATATTGCAGAATCTGTAATACCATTTGTTGAAGGCAGAGCAGAACAGGCCGGTGTGCCATATTCTGAATAAGTTTCAAATCTGGCAGTTAGCCATGCCTTCACAACAGATTGGAGGAGAATTGTAGACATCTTCATCTTCAAAAAATTTCTCCTTTCAATAAATCCTCTGAATCGAGTTTGTATAACTCTTGCAGAACTTCCTGTAAAGTGCCATAGTTCATCAACGATTAGACAACGAGGATAGAATTAACTGTTAAGAAAATCATAAAATAGACTAATAACGAAGTAAAATCTCCAAGATAATCTCATTTACTTGATTTCAAAAAATTTTAATAAGCAAATTTGGTTATCTTCATCAATAGCATTCTCATCACCAAATATTTTTCAAAGGTGTGGTTTCATGGTTTAAAACTATGACAACAAAATTCCGCAGTGACCCAGACCCAATCCATCCAATCATATAAACTATTAATACATCCAAAATATTTTAGATGGATGATATCTCATAAAATTAGAACAATTTAAAACTTACTCTAAAATATTGTCACAATAAAAAATACTGCCTATCCTTAATATCTAAACACGAGGAAGCTCATTTGACAAAATTATGCAGGTTTTTCGATCTTTTCATGTCCACTGAGAAAAATATATAGGAAAAATAAGTCCGATTAAGTGGCACAGCAGATTTGTACCCTTGACAAGATGTCTAAATTAATCTTCGAGTAGGGACTTAACCAGAAAGGTAGACCTATAGATCTTGTTTCTTAATACTTTCCAACTACTACGCTTTTCAAAAATCAACATCACATTTGTGACCGTGCGGGACATAAGCAAAGAAAAATATGACGTCATAACAATTAACGCACTTGAAAGTTGAAATGGCTTCTTTATTTCCATCATGGAAGATTTACATACGTATAACTCAATTCCTAAGTATTAAAATTCAAAATTCAGTTTGATTAATTGCATGTCTAACATATGCCTTCTGGCAAAAATGGAACGTACAAGTGCTTGTAATTTTGATGCGGCACATTTCAGCTGGAGTTATTTCGTTCTTTTCATCATTTGAATTCGTATAGCCTTATGAGGATCTCTGGAGCAAAATAATACTACCAAAGAGCTAAAATGAGGTAATATGATTTTCAGTGCTGATTAACTGAAAATGCCATCTAGAACCGATACTAATTTAAACAAATCACTTTCATGATATCTTAAAAACGGTGACCAAATGCTCAAAAACAATTATATATTCAGTACAACCTAATAAATTATGCTAGCAAAATATGCACATATGGTTTTCATGTCATCATAAAAAAAAAGTCTGACCATTCAATTGAAAATTTTGGCAGGTTTGCATTAAGAATAATGCCTAATATCTTAACCAGATCCACAATCTTCAAAAAAAAAAAAAAAATTATACCGACTCTCCTTTAATTCTCAAAAATAAAAATAAAATAAAAATTCCTTGATTTATATAGCATATTTTCCTTCCGACCTAAAAAATACCTCTGTAAGATCATAAGCTTTTTTACTTTCCTTTGAGCTTCTCAAGGGTACATACTGTTCTGAGTTGGCGTTCAAATAATTATCCAATTTGCCAGCAGAAACCCCACCACCATTCACAAACAAATTGATACTTTCCAAAAGCCTGGAGGCTAACACTTTTAAGAGCCGCTTGGGATCACTTTTATTTTTATGTTTTATCTATATTTAGATTTGAAACAAAACATATTTGACTATTTCATTGAAGTATATTTTTTTTCTAAATGTACTCAAAATACTTAGAAAGTTATTTTGAGTGCTTTAAAAAACATGTTAATTTACTTTTAGAAATAACAAATTAAAACATAAAAAACACTAAACAAAAATATTTTTAAAAACAGAAGGAAAAACAATAATAAAAATAAAAAACAAAAGTCAGCAGTGATTCCAAACAAGCTCTTAAAATGTTAGCAACAGCATTATTAGCCAAAAAATCACATGTTGAGTAGCCAACTTAATTACTTCATTGTTAAAATCGTTTAGTAATCTAGGAAACCAACATGGACACAAATAAAATTGTAAGAAGGTGCAAAGTGCGGACTCGTCTGGTCTACCCAATTTCCTCCAAACATAAAAAAAGCAGATTATCGTTTTAGTCCAAGTTGGATGAGATTTAGATAGAGATTTAAAGTAGATTTTTAAGCCACAAAATAGTGAGCATTGCAAACCTCAATAGTAAGAAAAGCACAAAAAAAGGCAGTGAAACAAAATTTAACTGCATAATTGACATTATCATATCCTTGGAAAGAGCAGAATTTTAAAGAAAAAAGAATTTGCAGAAAAGATAACTATCAACAACAAAATAATTGAAAATCTGAATTAAAGAGCGCAGAAGCACCTTTAACTGTATATCTGTCAAAACCTTCATTATTATGCAGACAAAATAATTCTTTCAAATTATTTTTAGGTCTATGAGGGTCACTTTGTAAATGGAACAACCGAGAAATGGATGAGCATCCACGCAGTGGACTCTGACAGGCTTGCTGTGGAAATCTAAATGAATTCACTATATCCTACAGAACATTATATATAAAATCAGCCAATTAGTTCCAAATGAAAGACAACTGAAAGTTAAGATAATGCATTACCAATTTATCACTGGTTATCAATCGAGAAGCGAGGAAAACAAGAAGAATCACTGCACTTCTTTCATCAAAGTAGGCACCTTCATCAAATATGTCGCACAAATGCAAGATCTACTGAGCACATAATCAAAATCAGCAAAAGAAAAATGTATAACAAATGAAAACTTTTGAAAGTAAAAGCTTTCATTAGAACCTCAGGAGATTTTCCCAACATCGTAGTAACACTTTGGACAATAGCAATATCAACAAGAGTGGGAGAGAGGCAATCAAGCTTCCTGATCCTATCATCATTGTATTCATCCTCATTTTCCTATAAAATTTATAATAATAATCACATAGTTTCAAAAGGAAGGAATTTTTTTTCTGAACAGTTTGCCTAGGCACAAAAGCTTGTAACTGTCCAACCTTTTCAAAAAGTAATTGATGAATATCATTTCCAAAATAAGATTTGATCAAACAGATCAAAGCCCTTCCATCAGTCAGAGAAGAAAAACTTTGGACTTCTATATTTTGTGTAGCACAAATTGCCTGAAAAAACAGAGATAACTAAAATTTCAAACATTGATAAATTGTTCTCACATACGATAACAACTTGCAATTATCAATACTTTTCTGTAAATTATAGTGAAGATACTGTGAAAGCACTTCATATTAATAAAAGATGAGCACCTTGCCATGATTGAAAAGATGAGAGCTAGTACTTCAAACATAGAAAAAATATATATTTTTATGATAATTTGATGTGAAAAGACGTAATAGAACAATAAAAATTGAAAAGTATGCGTAAAAAAAGAATAAATTAAACCAAAGATAGATAATCCTAGGCTAGCAATACTAACATATTAAATATGTTTATATCCTTGTTTCAATACAATCTATTCACCGAGCATTTTAAAATTGAAACCCAATCAGAGTTGGGAATTCATAATAATAAAAAACAAGTTCACGTAGCTGATTTTGATCTACAAAGAGAAGATTACTCATGAATTGAACTCCATCAGTTTTCATAATACCTTAAAATTTATTTCAGCAAAACAAACAAACGTGTATTTTCTAAATATAACCACCAATCAATATACTAAATTCCAAACCAATTGAGCATCTATATAGATCGAATCATTATTATCTTCATATGCAATTTGTTATTGAAAGAAACACTAGATTGGAAATAGTTATCATTGAAAGGTACATGATTATAAAGATAAATTTTTATTACTATTTTATATTATTTTAGTATCTTTGTACTCTTTTTAAATGTCTCTATATCAATACCAACATTTTGTCAATGGCACAAAAATTTTCTCTTCCAACATTGTAGTAGAACCACAATACACTGCCCGCTTTCCCTCTCCCTTTATTCCTCTTTACTCCCCTAATAAATCCTAACCTTCTCGAGCCCTCCCTACATCCAAATGCTCAACACGCTTTCGTGCTTGGCATACTGCTTAGAGCACTTATACTTTATTACGCTCCCATGCAACTTGTCGTGCTTGTGAATTGTGATGATTGAGATCTTTCAATCACTTGTTTGTCACACCCACTCCACATGTTAAGTGCACTCAACAATGAAGCACTCTCACCATACTTGCCCAAACATCTTAACATTTGCATGCAATATGCTTCCTGCACTTGTTTGCACAATCACTAGCAACTTGCTATAATTAGCTAGACAATAGATTTCAAGAAAATCGTGATAAACAATATTTATGATCTGAATGATGTCATAGCTTCTCTTTTTTATCCTAAAAAGTCAACAAGTCTCATCCAACATAGATACCAATGTCAAATTACAATCTACAAATCCTCTACTATGACTGTGAGCAATGGCAGACCAATGCTTAAGTCAATTGCCCAACCTGAATTTCATTTTTTAATAAAAGGACAAGCAATTCGATGATTCGCGCCCACAAAAGTGCACTTTGCCCCCACTTTAATTCTTCTGCAGGTCACTACAAATAAACAAATTAACCAAGCCCAACTCTAATTAAGCAGGATAGTGGGCAAGCTCAGCAGAATTGCGACTTAACTGGATTCATTGCGGCTTTTAAGATGACATTTAAACCCAAACTTTTAATGAGCATAGTCAAACTATAAAAATAAAAATAAAATTTAAAATCAAATATTACTTTTCAAACATGCGCATATCACTAGCACGGTATCTAACCACAAGGCCAAGTTGCACTCTAACTTTCTCAATTTACTTGCTGATACTTTTTAATTTAAAGAGCTGTAACAATTGATAAATCCCAGTTTTGGGACTAAAAGGCAAGCTAACAGATCTCTCATCGGGAATACTTTACATTAAACAACAATAAGGGCATTTACATATATATAACCTAATTCCTATGTATTTACATATCTAAAACCTAAATTCTATTTTTTTTTATTGATATCACCCAAATGTTTCATATTAGAATAAAAATACTATCCTTAATTTTTAAAAAGTGAAATACACATTTTCATAAATAAGAAAGTGGCATATTTTCTAAAATTTAAGTTTAGGTGTTCGATTTGTAAATATATAAGGATTGAGTGGTATCTATGAAAACCGTCCTAAATTTTGTATTTTTTTCTATTTTTTTATGCATTAGTTTTGCTATCTCCCAAACTATATTTGTATTAAATAAAAACTCTATTTTTCAAAAAATTTTAAAGAATTTAATTATTTTTAAGTTAATAATATAAAAACGAGTTTAATTGTAAATTAATTTTTAATCTTATTTTATTTAAATTAAATTATATTTTTAGTTATTTATTATTTTAAGTTTATAATATAAAAATAACTTATATTTAAATTAGTTGTTAGTAAAAAAAATTTTGAATTAAATTATATTTTTGGTTAAAATTTATATTGGGTGTTTAACTCACCCTTATTTATGCTTTACTTTGTTTAATTATGTATTATTTATTTTACTTTTAAGAAATTAATTTATTTTTATAATAAGTTTCCCCCTAAAAGCTTAAGTTGGTTTCGCCCTTGTGTGAGAGTATTTTGCTTTCTAGCTGATGCACACTACTTCAACATCTAAATACCTCTCGTCCATATGTCACTAAGATCATCAAATTTTTACAATGACAAACATTTAACTATTTTATTCTTAATTAGTTGTTAAATAGTCTTTAAACTTTAATAGCTTGATTGCCATCTTTAGAATTATACAAAAGATTTGGAATTTTCTTTGCTTGATATAGTTTTAAGTATCTTTTGTGTCTACACTCATCATTTTAATATTTTTTTCTCTTTAGTAAAATGATATGCGTATCAAGAATTTGATTGCGCAGAAAAAAGAAACGAGAAAAGTTCAACTACGTCACTTCACTACTTATTCAATTATCTAGTATAAATAGAGTGAAGAACTTATTGACATCAAATTTATCTTCAACATGCATGCTTCTATAAAAGGTATATAATCTCAATTGATTGTTGAATCAACCATATGATGACCACTCTCTCGAATTCTTCACCACACAAAACTCAACTTACCAAACTCAACTTGATCAATCAGCCTTAGTAGCTCCTTCTGATGGTGATTGACAAAAACATGGATGAAGAAACCCCAGTACCGGTAAAAACCATCATAGCCATAATACCATTCCAACCTACCCTTATTATAGTCGTAGTAATCCTCCTGAATATTATTAGGAGAAATTCAATTATTCCTAAATAACATAATATACTTCCATCGTCAATAAAAGGCTATTAATTCCTTATAATGACACCTTCTAGATTAATAATTGCCTCTCAATAAGATTATGATTGAATGCTTCAAAAATCGCATACATTATCTAAACATCCTATATTGTATCTTCCGTGAGGTATGTCGTTTCTATTGAGACTAATATGTATTGATTTTAGATTATGGTGATTCCACCATATGACAAGCCACAAACAATTATGTTTATCCCTTACCATAATCTCTCCCACTTGTTCTCACGCCTCTAAAAATTTGTCAATAATTCCCCTTTGTTTACTACAAATAATATTTATCTCTCGAACAATTGCTTATCAATATTTTGTTTTTGCAATATTTAATCAAGGCTTAATTTCTCAATAACATTCTATTCTTCTAAATGTATTTTTCGATGACTCAATACAAGAAAATGATGGCTAGAAATGTTGAAGTTAGCAATATTTAATCGCTAAATGTTGTCGATCTTATTACCATATCATTGATTTCTCTTTCAATGGTACTATGACCTAGACAGCTCTCCTCACCATATTCAAAACTTAATGCAAGAGCCACCCTTTATTTTAAAATACGATTGTGATGCATATGAGCTTTACCAAACTTAATCGTATACCTTTTCCCATGTCTTCATCCTCACATAATGATGCACAATTTGACCCTATTCACTCTAAAATATAGAGACCGAGACCCATGATTGCCATATGGGGTTTTCTATTTCACCTTATGCATTAATAAATATAATAAAGTTATTTGGGTTTATTTTTCGGAATATCAAATTTTTTTGTCAAATTTTGATGTCAATAATAGTCTTATACATCAACCCTTATATCCATAATCATCTCGGCAAAATGGAATTGAATGAATATAAGCATAGAAACCTTATTGTAGTTACTAAAACATTAATGATTCACATATATGTTCTTTACCAGTTTTTTGGGTGATTGAATCAAGGGTATGCTTTTTTTATAGCCTATCTCATAATTGATCATGTATTCTCTACTGTTCTAAACAATACTACTATATTCTTCATTATTTATACCAAATAATATGTTTTTCACTTGGCACCTTGTGTCATCAATCCAAAAAATATGTTTTTCACAATATTGCTACATGATTTTACTATTTATAGTAGGAAAGAATTGTATTTTTGAAAAACTAGGGATTTTAAAATTACATTTTTAAAAGAACTAAGCCTCTGCACTTGTTTTAAAAATGATACTAATAAGATCTTCAATATAGCACTATCACGAATGTATGAGCTACCTAAAAATGACTTTGGCATATGGCAAATGGCAACACCTGGCATGGTATCTTATTGATGTGGTCTTTGGTGTCGCAAATTTCAATCTAAACTGACAATCAATTTTTATTTCCAAACAGTATAGAATGTGACGGGATATAGTCTAGGAACAATAGTCCAGTGGCTGAGGAGAAGATATGGGAAGAACAATTCAATGGCTAAATAGAAAGACTAGCTTGGAAGCAGCAATGCAATGGCTAAATAAGGAGACTAGTGTTGGATGAGCTAATGAATGTTCTAATGCTGCACTTAGAGAAAATTTGGTTGTTGCAAAAAGGGAATTCCAAGAATGAAGATGTAGAAAAGAAGAAAGCAAAAAGCACAAGAAATTTATGAAACTAGGAATAAAATTACATTTACTTAAATTTGACTTTTAAGAACAAATCGATATATTTATATAAAGATCTAAGAAATATCTAAAATTATATTCAAGTTTAAAGAGAATTGTTAAATAGGAACTAACCTAAAAAAGTAGATTTCTAATTTCTCTTCTCTCCTTAAAGAGTGATATCCCCTTAAAATGAGAAGAAAGTAATGGGAAGAACATCAACAGTTTCAATGATTCTTTCCAACTTCTTTATCCTTTCTTCGCCATCACCATCATTCTTACAAATTTAAATTTGCAATTTTGCTTTTAACTTTCTCCTCGATTAATATGTGTAAATTTGTCCTTTTAAGTTTACCTATTTTGTAAAAAATCTTAAGAGCCTCGTGTACCATATGTTAGCTCCCAAGCATTCAAGATATACTATGCGTAAAAGAAAGTTTAACATAAGTAAAGCCTACCAAGTAATAGGAAAATATGCAAAGAACGGTGTGGGAGGCTATAGGTCAAAATTGATAATGAGTGAAATACCTGGATCCAATGAAGAAGCAGGTTCATTTCATTGATAGAATTGTACTTCAAGTATTCCTGACCACAAGTATAGAGAAGTGAGTGTTCATGAGAAAATATTAGTTTAGGAAAAGCTCTAAGAAAAAAAAAGAAATATTAAGTATTGAAATTGGATAGGATTAAAAAAATGCTATCTGGTAACTGGTTTATGTGGGATTTAACTAAAATCTATGAGACAAAAAGAGAATAAATTTTAAATCTTGAATTTAGTAAAATAGTAAAATCCAATTTATTCTCAATTCTTCTCAGTTCTATCTTAAATCTTGAATTTACTAAAGCCTATTGTTGGCAGGATTTAGTAAATCTAAATTTGCAAGATTTACTAAAGTTGTTACAAAAGAGCCCCTAAGAGCAAATAGGCAAGTATTAAATTAAGAAGATTCGCAGCTCAAGAACTTTGTGGAAAGTGTTGAAGTGATCTTCTTACAATGAAAATTTGTATATTTCAATTTTCTTAAAAAAAGGGTGGTTGTAGCAATAGCTAAAAAACATATTAATTGACTTATTTGAAGAAGAGAGAATTACCACATCAAAACCCTTAATCTTTACAATCTCCTTGAGCAATGTAGTCCTGTTGATAAGTAACGGTACCTACAAGTAGGTAATGATCTAAGAATATATGAATTGGACATAATGGAAAAACAATATATAACTAAAGCAATCATACATGGACAATAAGGCAAATAAAATTAATGATGTCCGGCTTATTTGGTTGAATAAGACGACGTTGATGACATTTGTCGACCAAATCATTAAAAAAACAATCAACTTATAAAACATAAAAAAAAAACAAAAAAGAAATCTTCATTGGAGTTTGAAAAGATAAGTGCACATTAATCACTCATATGTCCAAAATGAAAAAAAAAAAGTACAATTGTCATAAGAAGCCCCGAAAGATTAAAACTTTTTATCAAGATATTACAAATGTGATAAATAAAAGCACAATAATGTGGATTAATTTTTGAAAATTTTGTAGAGAGCATTCTAGTTCGATAAAAGGTATACATACAACTACAATTCAGATTTACTAAATCCAGTGTTGAGTGGATTTACTAAATGGTACTTCCAGCCAAACACCCCTTAGTGGTTTACCTTAGTAAATTAATTTACGAACCTAATAAACACAGACCATACGGCTATACCTACATAGAATGCACAACTAAAAATTAATAACAGAAAAAAAAATGCCACAAAGAAACCTGTAATTGGACAAACACGTTCCATAGGATGGAACAAGTAAGCTCCTTATCCCCATTAGCAATATCTGTTGCAGTAAGCATAACACCATCTGAATCCAGCATATGAACTCCAGAATCTTTGAGGTATTGCATGGCTGTACTACAATTTTGCAGCTTCTTTTTTGGGGTATCAGGTGAAACTAATTTCTACATAAAACATATTTAAAAAATTAGAACAGCAGGAGGAAGCACAAAGAAGCAAGCAGGACAAAAATAAAGGGGGCATACCACCCAATTCTCATATATTTACATATCAAACACCAAAATCTTGCTTTTTACATTTATACCTCCCATATCTTTCATAAAACATCAAAAAGACCACCATTTTAACATTTTAAAAAAATAAATACACCTTTTCATGCCCGAGTAAGCTGGTATGCATGTAAAAAAATGAAGTTTAGATGTTAGATATCTAAATACAGAAGAATTGACTAGTATGTGTGTAAATCTTCAAAAAAAAAATATTTATAGATCCTTACTGAGAAAATTGTTTGATTGCATTGTAAAAGTTGAACCATTCTGCACAGCAATATGCCATCCTGAAGATCTTCAAATATATTTTTGACTTTGAATTCAAATTCACAGAACGGGGACTATAAAAAAAGGAATACAAACTTTTATCATCCCTCTTAAGAAAATATGAAAATTGCAAAAAATAAAATAAAATTTCAAGCAAAGTAAGCCAACACAATAGTTTATAAAATGTAAAATAGTTATATAAGTACTATTCTAGAGAACAAGTAGCTATAATTACCTGTTGATGATTAACCTTACATCCCAAAATTACAAGATGGGCAAGAAGATCACCTTCTCCATGCATTGAATCGGCCAAGAACTCTGAAAGCATGAATTAGAAGCAATAGGACGAGCAATTGCTTAAATGGTTAAAAAAAAGAATATTTACATACATAACACTCAATTCAGACTTATTTACAAGGGCAACACTAAACTTTGCTTTTTTACACGACCCAAATCTTTCACATCACATAAAAAACACAATTTTAACTTTTTTAAAGTGAAATACACATTTTCATGCATAAGTAAAAAAATTGAAGTTTAGTTGTTGGATATTTGAATACATAAGAATTGAGAGGTATGCATGCAAAATTCCCAAAAAAAAAAAATCAAAGATTACACTTCCGGAAGCCTACCATGGATAATTTGGCGGCTTGATTTAATGGGAGAGTGACGAGCAAATAAAAGTGGAGAACCCCCATCAATGCTATCAATTCCATGTTTAATTGGAAGACTGCTCTCACATTTTGATTTATCAAGTGAAATCACAAGTAAAAAGAATCTTTTCAAAATTACACTTCCTAAAGCTTCATAGTAACCTGGCCTGTAAAGGCCGCCAACCAACTTATTCAAAGCATGCGTTCTAACAATACCCGCATGAGTAAGGAAGTGTTTCTCAATGAATTCTTTGAGAAAGTGTTCATCTTGATCTCCATCATGAACCAACAGCGAGTCGCCTCCAAAAAGAATATGCAACCCTATCTGGAGCCACAAAGAGTTATAGCACAGAAGTATTTTGATTGCCCTCTCCCTGATAGCAAGATCAGTAACTAGAGGACAATGTGACTTCATCTTCAATCTCCCTTCATCAATATTCTGTAGAAAATACAGAGATTAAAATTACATCCAACCTTATCTATTATCATCAACCAATGAAAACTAATTCACAAATCAGTGCTGTGATGCAATACAGCAAATGTAATATGCTTGAAAAAACAACTCACAAGAAAATTTTGGTGATTGTGAGCCAACGGGGGAGGATGAAAATCATAAGAGAAGAGAAAAGTGACGAGCTAATGCCATTAAAAGGCACGCTATGAGGAAGAAAATGATATTTTGGAGAAACATAACAGCAACCACAAATGAAGCTTATCTTGCTATCAAACAGCCCCCTAATTTTCACCAAACAAGATCCTATAATAATTCCAACTTGCAATTTACCTTGCAAACCTGGGTCATCATCAACAGAACTTCATTGCAGCTTTTCGAGCTCATGTGACACAGCATCCTCTCCACCATGTCCTCAAAGCTGCATACCTTGTCAAGCGACTTCTTCAGAAAAGGCACCTGCTTCACCATGGACAAGTTGATATCAACCACCGCATCAGTTTGCACCCGCTGACGTTTTGGGCTTCTCCAATTTCTTCCAATTTCAATAATCCCACCGTCCAAGCTCTCGCGCTTTCCTTTTCCTTTTGAGAACGAACCCAATGGCTGGCCATCATCCGCACAGGGTCCGATCTTACAGCCACAGTCCTTGGGATTTTGTAGCAGGAAGTTAATCCAGGCTGTGAGGGACCTCGAGCATCTTTCCAAAGACTTCTCACGGCGGATAAGCGCCTTACGAGCAGACCGGGACTGCTCAAGCTCGAGAACCTTTAGCCGGAGCGCCGTTTTTGAACGCGATGAAGAGATGGCAACTGATGATTTATGGCGCCGAAAGATGGAGTGAGATGTGGAAGAAGTGGGGGTGGAGTAAGATAAGTATGGCGTCTTCTTGGAAGCGGTGAAGAAGAGCGGGGAAGGAGAGGTAAGACTTGGGATAGGGTTAGGATTTCTTGGGTATGGCCTAGGTGTTTTTACATTGGTGGTGTCCCAAAGCAAGTGAGAAGGAGTTGAGAAATGCGGCTGAGGGGAGGCGGCGGAGCCGCCGCGCTCTGGCTGCCGACGGCTATCCACGTCGGACTGATCCAGTGGGGAGTTTGTAAAAATGAGACCTCTCTGGTATGCAATTTAAAATCGAATGGGCGGGAAATGGTTTCGAACACCAGGGCTATTTTCGTCATTTTATTACTCGCCTAAACCGGTTTAAGGGCTTGAGTGAATCGTCACGAGTCACGACCTCGCCGTTTCCTCGGAATCGGACGAGCCGGTTTTGTGAATGATTCTAATCCCTTAAGAAGTTCAAAATAAGAATATTTACCCAAACATCTAACTCATATTTTTGATGAAAAGTTTGAGAATTGCTACTTTAAGGTGTATGTATATTCATTTATTTAAATAAAATTTTGAAAGATTGAAATATAAATAAATAAACTTCTTATATTCATATATATTTAAGTTATTTTGATGAATGTATTTTATTTTTTGTAAACAAATATTTTAACAATGCTTCTTATATTTTTGTTACACCTTGAGTTCGGAAGGCGATATATCTTGACAATATATGGCATTATGAAAGGATTTGTATTTATTTTGTATTCTCAAAAAAAAAAATTATACAAAAAATCATTAAAAAACACGAAAGATAAATTTTAATCAACAACAAATACAAATGAAAGAAAAAAACAAAAATAATTAGAAAAAAAACAAAATATCAATAAATAATTATTCAAACCAAAAAAAAAGAAAATACAATAACTAATAAAAAACTTAAAAAACAAAAAAAAAACTAAAATTACAATATTTGCTCCTATGAAGTCAATTTGGGTAAAACTTGTCATACAAAATATTAATGAATGAGTTTGACAAATCAAACTTAATAAATAATTAATGTTTATCAAAGCATAAATGATAATGATCTGAAACATGTAGTATTACCAATAAAATGGATAATTTGATATATAAATAATAAATTTATAAAAAGAGTATTGAATGTTTATGATTATGAATATGAATAACTTAAACGTATGCACTGTTGTGTAAATATTTATATATCATAACATTATGTGTATTCATACATAGAAACATTCGTGTAAGATTATCTGATATATATACATATATATATATATATGTGTGTGTGTGTGTGTGTGTGTGTGTGTGTGTGTGTGTTTTCCTATGAAACCCAAAATCCTTGGAAATCGAATGCTTTTCCATGGACACATCAGTTCATTTAGTCATAATAAAAGTTTAATACCGACATAATATTATTATAATAGCATATATTTTTCGTGCACCATAATCATATTAAGAAAATATAATTACGGCATATCAACTAACATTTATACACAGTTATAAACTATAACAAGTTTAATACATCAAATTTATAAAAGAAATAATAATTATTAGAAACATGAAATGCAAATAATACTTAAATAAGAGTTTATGGAGTAAAAAACAAGACTAATTATTCATTAAATTCATTATGAATAAGTAATAAAATCAACTCCAGCTATTTTAGCAGAATTTGAAGGGTGTGACAAGCCTACAAAGAACTAGGAATTTAATACAAGTAATAAGGTTAACACCTCTAACAACGAGTGATATGTTTATCCATTAATAAATTATAGTTACTTACCTTGAAGCGAGCAACAATACTCCAAATATTTTAGTAGTGCAATCATCATCAATTAGTAGATCCTATTAGGTCAGACTCATAAAATTTAATATGCACATAAATGTAATAAAATTAATTATTTATTAAGTTAGGAGTAACCTAACTTGGCTACAATATTATTATTATTATTATCATTATTATTATTAAAATTTTGAAAATAAAATGAGGAAGAAAGGAGTGGCTCTAATCACTTTCTCATAACGATCAAATAATTGAAAATAAAAATTACTCTAACACATGCATACAGTGGCTATAAATTAAAATAATAAAATTACAACAAAGGGAGAAAGTATATTGGATGTGACTTATAACTTATGCAATGAAAGAGGAAGGAGTAGGTTCAACGATGAATGAGGCTCAACAGCTGAAATTAAAGGAAAAGGAGGAGGAAATGAGAACCAGTCCTCTTTCCTCGACTAGGTCATTGAGAGCAAGGTGATAGATGAGAGAGAGAGAGAGAATCGACAACTTTAGGTAGAGGTAAGTGAGATGAGGGTTATGCCCTAACACTTCAACCTCATATTGGAAGCAAATACGTCACAGTGTCGATGACGAACACAACAAAGTGAAAAGGGGAAAGAAATATCATGGAAAGAGGAAAACAAGGAAATAAGAAATCACAAAAAATCTTAGGATTTTAGGGGGATAGGATTGTTGATAAAGGGAGAGAAAAAAGGGAAGACAATGTTGGAAGAAATCAAGAGATTTATGTGATTAAAAGGTGAAGGTAGTGCAAGAAGCTTGAATTGGGAAGTCGATGCAAGAATAGATCGTGCGGTATGTGTGATCGGTACTCGATAGTGTGTTATGTAAAATTGAAAAGGAATGAGGATCGAGAAATTCTTGTGACTTGGGAGAGAAGAAAAGGGAAATATTCAAATAGTTACATCTAATACTTGGGAGAGAAGGGCGTAATGAAGGGAGAAGAAAATGAAAAGTTTTATTGTGCCTACGTATTTTTATATCAAATGCTTTTTTGGTCTTGTGCCTTATAACAAGGGTATCATGATGAAATTTATTTTTAGCATATTCAAAGCTTTTTTTATATTATTTAAATTTCATCAACATTTGACTTGTTAGTTTTATGTGCTAGAAAAGTTACAATGACCAAGTATGAGAGCTTATAATTTTAGTCTTACACAAAAATGTCACATGCACACAATTCAAACAGACTCAAACAGACCACAGCAACATATGTTTTTTAGTAGTGAGCTTTATGACAGCAAAGATGATCTGTTGTCATTTCTTACAATATTTTCTCACTATATTTCCTAAGGGGTATCGTTCCCTATGGATAATAATGTCATAACAGAAATTTTTGGAGGCTATCTACTTCACTGCCTCACTTCAGTGTGTGTGTGTGTGATTGAAAAATATGCTTTGCTTCTCATTAGAATGCTCTACGTGGCATTATTACTGTATTTTAGTCATAAGACATGAAATTCTACATATGTTTCTTAGCAGTGAGCATAAAATGATGAAAAAGATGATCTTTTGCCCTTTCTTATAATATTTTCTCATCACATGCCTGTCGACACTATTTTGGTTTGGGAGTTGCCCGTAAGAAGCCGTCGGCCACCGGAATTGAAATCACGTCGCCTGCTTTGAAAGGACATTTTAATGTTTGGAAACATATGAAATCAAACTGACATCATATTTTTCATATTTTTCATATTTTAAACGAAAGAGCATTGTATCTCAAACCCTGTATCTATCCCGATGGATAAACACAGGACTTGAGGATGAGGCTCGATCAAATAAATTGAGAAATATATGACGTCTGTTTGGTCTGTGAAACTGTTTTATTTATCGACAATTTTCCCTATTTAATATAAGAATTAAATAGGATTTATATTAAACTGGGTTCGGACGAGCTTCCTATAAGGGCAAACCCCTATAGTTAATTACATCTTAAATGACCAAAGCCACCTAAAAAAACTTTCGATAAAAATTAGGAAATATTATCTTCAAGGATTTCAAAAGGATAGAAATGTTTAATAATATCGGACAAAGAGGTGTGAAATGGGATTGGCTCAAATTTGGAGCATTTCATTTTTGAAATCCAAAGGAGGAAGAACTAGGGGATGTCATGGATCCAGAGGAGAACCTCGGTGACTTCCCGATCTATCTTATTATTTGGGTTTAGTTTTGAGGATGAATATTTAGGTGTTTCATCCTGCCAATTTTATTTGATTAGGGCTTACATTTATATAAAACGATCACACTAATAGCCTGGAAGATGTGAGCATTTAGGTCGTGACGAACGACAAACTCAGAATCCTAAGACGAGTTAGGGCTTATATTATACATCAGAGCTATATAAAGGCCTAAAGATAATGTGAGGATTTATGTTGCATTAGGCAGACAACCTTGAAATCTAATGGTTTTGTTGTTTAATTCTAAGGAAATTGATTTAGCTAAGGAAGACAGGTTTTGCTGCTGAAGATGGTCGTGTTGCCCACCATGCTAGCTCTAAGCTCCTCGCCGTGACGAGTTTAAGTTTTCTAGGGTGTCAGGTTATGATCTCAAATCGGATGACCCTATGGTTGAAGTTCGTTAAATGTTATGGGAGATGCTAAAGTTGATTAGAGCGACACCGGTTAGGATCCCACGGTTCCCTCGTTCCGACACCACTATTTTCTATTGAATTCACTTAGTCTAAATGAATTTACTAAACTCAACTTAATGAGTTCCATAATTTCATTTAGACCGTGGGAAGCCTCATTAGCAACTGTAGGTTACCTCCTCCGAGGGGTTCCCGATCATCCAATAGAGATGTCTTAATTTAGTTGAAATTGTGATTTTTGTTGTGAATAAATTTTGAGTTGTTTTATATTTTGAATGTTGTGGCGGTGGATTTTATCTTGGTTGATTTTAACTTTAGTATAGTTTTGGGTTTTGGTTTTGTGGCTATCCTGATAGTAAGTTTGTGTTTTATTCATACGTGCAGGTAAGTAAGCACAATGAGGAAAGCTTAAGAAAAGACGATTTTGTAAACTATAAAAGCGTACCTGGCGAGTCTTCTCATTCCACCACCTGAAACTCAAAATGCATGTTAGAACATTTTATGTAAAGTGGAAAAGATAAGGTTTTAGTGACCTACCTAACCCTAAATCATATCTTGGTGGGTCCATATTTGTTTGATTAAGGATGATTTTTGTTAAGCAAAACATATTAATTTTAATAGACCTCCGGGGTATCAAACAGGTCTAGAGGAGTTTTCCTCTCACCGCCTGTTAAAAAGTCTCAAGCTCATTTAAACTTATTATGTTATACCTGGCGAGTCTTTCGTTCCACCACCTGACACTCAAAATGCATGTCAGGGCATTTTATATTAAGCATGAAAGAAAAGTTTTGGTGACCTACCTAAACCCTAAATCATATCTTGGTGGGTCCTTATTTGTTTAATTAAGGATGATTTTTGTTAAGCAAAACATATTAATTT